AAAAAATTACAAAAATTATTTTTCGTACCCTCCAAGTACACGTAGCTCCTCGAATTCTATTATCAATAAAACAAAACAAAAAAAGCGAAAAGAAACTGATAGGAAATGAAGCAGCGAGTAAAAACATGACCGACCTTGAGGAGCCTCCGGAAGTAAGGACTACACGCAGAGAGGACGACCTTGTGCGCCGTGAAGCTGCTACTGTCGCATGCCAGGGTCACGTCCACGAAATCCTCCTCGTCCCTCAGATGACGAAATGAGCTGAGGATGCTCGAGTGGAAGTCGTTCCACCTGAGTGAATACTGTTGCTCGCCGCTCGACGAGGACGAAGAGGCCGCCATGGCGTCCGTCCCCTCGGGACCCACGGCCGAGGGCACCAGAGGTGCTATCGTGCTCACTCTGGCACCCCACGAGGACACCTTCACTTCACCCTCTCGTCGCGTTTCACCACGCAGCACCCCTCTTCTATTCTTTTATCGACTCTCCCTGGCTCTTCCCACGCACACTCGCACAGACAGGTCGCACTGTCTGTTTTCTTCTTTCTTCCTTTTTCTTTCTTTTTTTCTTATTCCTCTTGTTTTTTGTCGTCACGAGGAATTGCGTGTGTGATTCAGAGATTTGTTTCTAAGAGATTGAACACACAAGAGATCACTACCTCTTCTGCGTCTTTTTTGGGGAGGGTCAGTTAACCTTGACCTGGTTCTCCACACGAATTTTAAGTTCTTTGGTAGCCTCTCGTGTCTTTTTCCTTGTTATTGAAGTTTTCTGAGGTTTCTTGGTCCACTACTTCTTTTTCTTTTTGGCTATTCTTCTGTCGTTTTATCGAATGGTCCAAGATCGATGGAGAACGGTAGAATTAATCTTGTAGAATGTCGTCAGGTGTAAGGGAACGTCAAGTCTGCCAGCACAGTGGATCTCATAATAACGACATCGTGATAGCGACGAGAGGACGTTATCCGTCGCTGCTGCTGGAGAGTGACGAGACAATGAGCCCACGATCGCCTCTGAAAACAATACCGCGTCTATTGTGAGCACCGGCACGTAACACGACCTATCGGATATTTTTGAATACCGATCGATAAATGCCGGAAGATTTGTTCGTGTTATACAATTTAATTCGATATAGAATCTGCCCGGGGTTTTCTTAACCCTCGGTTAATCTGGTAGCGTCTCTGGACAAACACTTATTATATTCATTCGTAATTTTTACGATTGCGGAAATAATACGTGAAATAGAGGAGAAGCTCGATTTATCTCGTCTTATCAATTTTACATCTCACTTGTCCCCAGAGATCCGCCAATAAGATTTCAATGGTTCGAGAAAGATTAACTTCTAAAAATATGAAGATTCACCAGACTAACTTAGGGTTAACTGTCGCACGGTGTCTTTAGAAAAAATTGTAAAGGATCAATTTCAGCAAGTCGGGCGAAAAATTAAAAAAAATTAGCGTTCTCAAATATTTCAAGTTCTCGATAAAATAAGGATTCTTTCTTCGAACTAAACGAAAATTTCATAGGAATAGAAAAGAAAAAGTAGACAGGCTCACCTTCTCTGCGATAATTTCGGCGATCCCCAAACGCTTCTTCCTGGCGCCTCTCCCTTCGCCAACTTTCTCTCCGCCTGCTCCGGCACCAACCACGACCTGTATCACTTTTTCCCGTCTAACGAAATCCTTGCACCCTCTGCTGCCCAGCCGCGACTTGATCGACGCGTCATTCCGACATTCGTTGTCGTGAAACGCGACGACGAGTCTGTCGATACTTCCTCGTCCTTTGGACACTAAACGCTTCACTATTGTCCACCAGGTCACCTGATTCCCTTGTAGCACCTGTGTCCTTGCTTATCATGCCACCTACGACCGCTACTCCACCGCGATCCTTCTCTATTTTCCTCACTTCTTCTCTCCTCTATACCCTCTCCTTCGCCTCTTATTTAGCCACCTTAAACTCTCCTCTTCTGTAATACCAAATCAAACAAACACGGTTAACACACACGCATACGCAGACGTGCACATAGTTGCAAAACGGTATTTCAATTAGAACGTTGTAATTATAAACCGAGAAAATAAACGGATCAAGTAGCAACAAATTATTTTACTCGTTGGACAAGATTTTTCCGGAGTCGAGAGGAACGCAGTGTTTCTCGATCGGCGTTTGATCGATCGATAGATATATTCAGTCAGTTACGGTTCTGTCAAGGATTACGCGCAACACACCAATGAGAAATTACAGGTTCTCACTATCACCCGATCAATCTTTTACGTGGAAAATTGTAACAAATTGACGTAATTGATCGGGTCTCGAGGTATATTCTGCTTCGATTCACTCGGTCGGGTAGACCGACCGAGAAATGATAAGAAACGCGCAATTGCACCTGCACAGAGCAAAACATGTGACTAATCGCAGCATTAAGGAATCAGTTTTGAGAAATCATTATGCGAGTTACTTCCTCGTAACGGCGTATTATCAAACCAGCGGAGAATCCTTGAGAGATTAGAGAATTGAAGCCACGTTTCTAAACTTCAACTTGCAAATCAATTTCTTTCTTCTCGAATCGTGTAGAATATCTTCTTCTTTACTCTTCTTCTTCTTTTTTTTTATCACAATCCGCTTCATCAGTCGATCACGCTCGATAAAACGAGTGTTCCTGCATCCGTCTGACAGGATGACCACGAGATTCGAGAGCATCACATCCGGTTCCTCTCGAGAGCGACGCATCAACGTGTCGCATAAATTTTACATGCATACGAAGCGTGTCAATCCTTTTGTGAGTTGCATCATGAATGGTCGTCTCTAGCAGTGGCACCGATAGCATCGCGATTTTCCACCGACGAATAATTTATCTGACAGCCTGGAAGATTTCGAGAGAAAATCTTCCTCTATCGTCTATCGAAATAAAAGGAGGAAAAGAATCGTCCTCTTTTGAAACTGTCCAACTGTCGATTTTTCAATTGGAAAGAGAGGAAAAAGAAGAGAACTGTTAAGAGGTTGAAAAGAAGAGCGAGAATAAAACGAATCTTTGGAGGTTAGGAAAATTGAAGTTTTCGAAATTTTTTCGAGAATTTCCTTATGGACGAAAGCTTCAAGGATGAATCTTTCGAAAGAGAGAGAAAAAAGAGAACTGTTAACAGGTTGAAAGGAATAAAACGAAGGAATAAGAGTGTGAAAGAATAATAATAACGGTGGAAAATCGTGAGCTAATATATCGCGGGCACGATAACGCAGCTATCGGTGTTGTTTACGATTCCGCGAATTTACTTTGCAACAGGCTCGACAAATATTAGAAAACGCGCGCGAGACGTACTACACCTAGGGAGAGACGACGAGCTGCTCGATGGAAGAACCGAGGAGGCGACCGGTCGAGCTGTATAATTACTTTTCCGCCTTTAATTACGAAAAGGGCCTGATTTCACTGGAATTACTCGACGAGAGAGAGCGCGAGAGAGAGAGAGAGAGAGAAAGAGAGAGAATCTTGATTACGTTTCACCTGAGGCTGAACGGTTTAGTAAACAGCAGTCGAATATTTCGCGTTTGGTCGATTTTAAATTACAAAAGCGTGGTATTAAGGCTTGGTCCGTCCGTGACTTGGAGAACACGCGAGCGAATTAGAGGGAGTACAAAGCATGAGCTGTGGGTTGCTGCTGCAATCGTTTGAGGAAATCGAATAAAATATACTTGCTCGGTTAAAATACTTTCCAAACGATTAAAAGAGGTGTACTAACTTCTACTCGTGTGTTTATGTATGTATATAATTTATTTCTCGTTTCTCTCGAGGCGATTTCGCGAAGGAGATCTCGCGAACGAGGGGAAAAGAAACGTGTTGGAGTGCAATTCAGACTGCAAACGATACCACCGTGCGACGCGACAGGAATCAAAAACGCACCGGCGCGTGTGTACGCCTCCGAGCAGTCGCGCATTATGAAACTGACATAATGACCAGCGGAGAGGGTTTCGCAAGCGCATACCTAGAAAGCGTTACGAGGCGTGGAGAGCTCGCGAGCACGCGTTATCTCGGTTTCGATACTGAAATTAAATACGCATTTTTTCTTTTTATTTTCTCTGGGAGCTTTATGCAGCTCTGCGTTGAAAATTGTTTACGTGGATCAGCTAACCAAGTTAAAGGGCGTGTGTGCGAATTTTCGCGGTGAATAAAATTGTCGTATGAATGGAATGATCGATGACGGAGGTTGAATTGTAATTTTTGCAATTTGTATTTTGAGAGTAGCTTTTTTTTTTAGAAATATGGTAGGTTGTAGGTGTGTATAGGGTTTGCTTCAAATAATTACAAAGTTCTATTTTCGAAAAGTATACACACGTTGCCTGTGAATCACGAGATGTCTGGTGTCCCAGAGAATTAAAAATGGCAGGTGATGACAAATAAACCAAGCTTAACTGTACTGCAGAACTAAAAATAGCGAAAGACGATAAATAGAAATTTACCTGCGCGAATAGCCGTTTAGCGCTAAAGTTAGAACTACGAATTTATAAATTTCTTGTAAAAATACGAACGTAAACATCGTTCGATTTTTCATTCGAGTTTTCGGAATTTTGCTTCTGGAAGGTACACAGCTCGAAATTAGACGGTACGATCGGTCAAGTGTTTCAACCAAAATCAAATTTCACCGAACACTTTTCACTTGCAGAATAATTTAAGATTTTTTTCTTTTTAACGAAGACATAAACAATCGTCTCGCAACGTGTCGAAGTGTCTTAAAATCGTTGAACATTTCATTAACACCTATTTCAACAGTATACTAACACCTACACTTTAAAAAAGGAGTCCATAGATCGTTTAAACAGTTCCGCGAAAAATTGGAAAACACGTAGTGTCATCTGATCAGGTGTTTCATTTGCAAAATGTACGTGCGAAATCGCGGTGAGAGAGAGCATGCCTGTTTCCACGTGTACGCCGTCCACATATTCCATTATATCGTATGAATGAATCGCGCGTCCCTGAATATATTTTGACCGATCGATCGATTCGTCTGCTGTTCGCGCTTAATCCACTCTCTCTCTCTTTCGCTATCGTGCTTCATACGTTCCGCGCGGCGTTCTGCAAACAATGTAAAAGCGAGGCTCGTTGAAAATTCGTCGCGTTTTCAACGTGGCAAATATTGAATGAGATAATTAAGAGCCCAGATGTTCGATCGCGGACCTGTACTATATCTCCCTTCTCTCTCTCTATCTCTCGTTAATTACTCGTCTTCGATCGGCGAGCGTAACGGCGAGCGGTGGAGGGCGTCATTTTGTAATTCAGAACGCGTGCACAAAAGAAGACTTATTCGACGTAAAAACACGCTGATCTGCATACGTCTGACGCGGCACTGATTTATGAAGCTGCCGAGAGATCCACGGGACTGAACTGACTCTCGACGAAGTAGCTGAGCGGGAGAGAGATGGAGAGAGATAGAAACGAAAACTCGACATCATTAGCGATCGTTGCTTTGTGCCTCGCGGCTCGAATACTTCGATCTTTTTACGATACATCGCGGTTACCGGGCCTCGTTCCTTGCTCGTTTTAATTAGAAGAAACGGATCATATACGCGGCACGTCCGGTACCGCTATGCACGCGCAATGATCTCTGTTCCGAGCGCAAAAAGATCGTCTGATTCGAAGGGAGAAATTGCGAGGTTCCATTAGTGCGCCGTTTTATAGGAATTATTCGCGAATAATTACTCCAAGGTGTATTCTATTCGAATACTAAACACTTCCATTGAAAATCGCGTTAAAAAGAACGAAATTCATCTCTGTCGGTATGACAAATTGAAAGGAGAAACGTATACAGTTCCATTGAAATACTGTCCCAATAAAAAGAACAGTATCGAACAGGATAGAGTTGGTTTCAAAATGAGCCACGCTAAATCAACGTGATTTGTACCGGCGTATCTCCTTTGTTTTACCAAAAAAGAAAGAAAAAAGAGTCTCTCGATCCGTCAAATCCCACCATCCAGTATGCACCACCGTGACACATCTTCTCTTCCTCTCGTTTCTTTTTTTTTCTTTTTATCGAAAGCGTTTGCACGGACGACGGGCTACACACGCGTGATAAATCAAAAAGATACAACGTTTAAATATTTCATTGGTGGGGCGCGAACAAAAAATTTCGCCGAATCGAATCAAGGACTTGTGTGTTGGACGTCCGACTTCCTCGAATTCGCGTTTCGTTTTATATTCCAACGGGGCGATCGTAAAGCTCATTGCAGTGCGGCGCAACGCGTTTATAATCGCGAGTCAACAACGCCTATCGCATTACTCTTCGTCCACGCACGGTACTTTTCAATAGTTTATTGCGTTTCTCGTCGCAAAGAACCGCCTCTTTTCCACTCGCGGCGCAAACGAACCCTTCCACTAACGCCAGAGAATCGTTCTTTCTTCCTTTCGTTCTCTTTTTCATTCACCAAACGAACAACAGGTCTCTCCTTATTCCACGTTATCTTTTTCGGAGACCTTGATTCGTTGTCGATAGGCGACGTGGATGCAATTAAAATCTCGTGTTAAAAAGAAGGACTCGAAAAATTGAACGAAATTCTAGAGATGTATTGTTCGACGTAATGTATGCAAATGAAACCGAAACACGCCGCTCGACGGCACCTCCGCGGTGATTTGCATGTCCGTCCACTTTTTCGCTTTTTTTTTTTTTTTTTTAATAGTAAGACGTATTTGGTTTTTATGAGTACGTTTGTGGCTAAAAGTAGGCTTCTTATTGGGCGAACCCTTTAATCTACTCAGGGACGATCTTTGGAGATTAGGAAAATTAGTTTTGAAATTTTTCAGAGAAGTTTCTTATGGAGGAACGCTTCAATTCATTCAAGGATGAATCTTTCGAGATCAGGAAGATTGAAATTTATGGTAGTTAATATTTTAATTGGTGAATTAGTTACGTATCGATCTCTGAACGAAAAGTTGCAAAATATAATATTTCATTCGAGAGCTTCTTCGAAAAAATTTGAAAAAGA